GTATTATTATTAATGGTAGTAATGTTCACTAATCCATTGACTATATAGTATCCAGTGATAGGTACATTATCCAGTGTATAAGGAGCTGTCCATGTTAATAATACACTGGATCCATTAATAAAGGTATAATCCAGATCAGCAACACTAGCCAATAGACCTGAAGAAGATATAAACACACATGCATATACTGTAATATGCTAACCTTGTATCATTAAAAACACAGTATCACTTGTGACAGGTAGTGTTGACAGAGAACTAGCTACACATGTAACATTTGTGTTATTATTAATGTCATATGCTTTAGCAGTTAAAACTCCTCTCAGTGCTCCACCACCTGTTTGAATAACATCTTGAAATCCTCTGTTTTTTATTTCCTCTCTATTAGCTTGTATACAATCAACCAAAAAGCACACTGAAAAATCATGGTCAGCAACTTCACAAGAGAATTGTACAGTTGAATTGAGTGTTGTATTGATAGACACTGGTTGAACTGTGAATTCTGTAAGAAATCAGTAAAATAAATACAAGTACTAAATACAAGACTGTTACTTCATGTACCACAGTAAATGTGAGTAGGGCAAAAGGTTAGGAGCAAGACAAAAATGAGCCTCTTAGCTGAAATATCCATTGTAGCATAGATATTGTAGTGACCAGACCACCTAATCATAGGACCGTGTGTTTGTATTATCTATGACAGGACCATACCGGTAAGTTACCGGTATGGGGCGGTAAGTACTATGATATCATAGATACTATGATGATATCTTCTCGCTCTTTAATGGACCGGATTTCATTTACTCTAATATCTATGACCGGATGTAGAATCTAGGATGTCACGCCCATGATTTAGCTATGCGCATGCGAATCATCAAAATTAATGATCTATCAGAAATGCAGCCTGTTCAAGTTCTGGTTATACTTTTATTGTCAGATCTACTGTCTGATAAAAGATTCTTTCTCTGTGCAGATGGTTAGAAAGGCTCTACCTGTAAAAATAATTATTTATAATTTTATATTTTGTTTGTACAGACTTTACGGTTCAGCCTGTGTCTATCAATACAACACTCAATTCAACTGTAAACTTTTCTTGTGAAGCTACTGGTGACTATAATTTTTTAAACTTTTATGCTGACGGTATACAAGCCAATAGAGAGGAAATAAGAAACAGAGGATTTCAAGATGTTATTCAAACAGGTGGTGGAGCACTAAGAGGAGTGTTAACTGCTAAAGCATATGATATTAATAATAATACAAATGTTACATGTGTAGCTAGTTCTCTGTCAACACTACCTATCGCAAGTGATACTGTCTTTTTACTGATACAAGGTGTGTGTATGCTATAGTCCTGTGCAGATATGGGGTCAAGCACTATGAAATGTACTTAAACACAAACACAAGCACTTAAATGTGTTAGAAGTACCAGCACAAGCACAATCCCTAGCTTTAACATAAGTGCTTAAGTACAAGAACAAGCATTCTCCAGAGTGCTTAATTACATTAGTAAGTACTAGATATTCTATAAGTGTAAAAATAAATAAAGTAAATTACAATTATAGTTGTTCACTTTACATGCACTTAGTCATTCAATTTACTATCGCATCGAATAAACACTAACTCTGTGAATTGTTCATAATAAATAAAAACAGCAGAGAGCTTTGGAGTGATACCACTAATGGTGATGCCATTACTGTTCTTCAAGCTAACATGCAATCACACAATGTGCTACTAAACTTGTATACTACTGTACCACTACATTGTACATGTACATCTACATGGTGCATCTACATGTACATCTACATGGTACATCTACATGTACATGTAGATGTACATGTACTACTGCATGTACATGTAAATGTAGT